CCTGAGTATTTTGTGAAGTAATATAATGTAACATAAGATAATATAACAATATAATATAAATCAGATCTTCCTGCCCCCCCCCCTTTTTTTGACAGGCAGAGTGGACATTGAGAGAGAGACAGAGAGAAAGGTCTTCCTTTGCCGTTGGGTCACCCTCCAATGGCCGCTGCAGCCGGTGTGCTGCGGCCGGCGCACCGCGCTGATCCGATGGCAGGAGCCAGGAGCCAGGTGCTTCTCCTGGTCTCCCATGGGGTGCAGGGCCCAAGCACTTGGGCCATCCTCCACTGCACTCCCTGGCCACAGAAGAGAGCTGGCCTGGAAGAGGGGCGACCGGGACAGAATCCGGTGCCCCGACCGGGACTAGAACCCTGTGTGCTGGCGCTGCAAGGGGGAGGATTAGCCTAGTGAGCTGCAGCGCTGGCCCCCGCCGCTTTTAAATTCCTCTCTGCAGCACAGAATCTGAATGCTTTAGAATATGACACATGGATGGTGTTCTCATACCCCAGGCTCTGCACTTCACTCACTCATTGTCTGACAGCTCCATCAAGGAGTATTCCTTAGTTAAATTGATTAAAGAGAGCTTTATTCTCATGTCTTCAGTAAGCTTACGCCTTATTGTGTGTTTTCTTTCTTTCTTTTGTTTTTTTTTTTAAAGATTTATTTATTTACTTGAGAAGTAGAGTTACAGACAGAGAGAGAGAGAGATAGAGATGAGAGAGAGAGAGAGAGAGAGAGAGAGGAGAGAGAGAGAGGTGTCTTCCATCCACTGGTTTACTCTCTAAATGGCCCCAATGGCTGGAGCTGGGCCAATCAAAACCCAGGAGACAGGAGCTTCTTCCGGGTATCCCACTTGAGTGCAGGGGCCCAAGGACTTAATTGTGCTCTGCTGCTTTCCCAGGCCATTAGCAGAGAGCTGGATGGAAAGCGCTGCCCATACTGGATTGCAGTGCAGGCGATGCTTAACCTACTAAGCCCCAGCACGGCCCCCCTACTGTACAAAACAACTGGACCTTCCAGGTGCACAACTCAGGAGGCAGAGCACAGTGCATGAGAGCTTGGATCAATTTTTACTTTAATCTTGGTCATTTTTGCTAAGGCATGCAGTGATCTGGCAATGCAGTTTTGCTTTTGAATAAGGACAATTTATTCATGTCCTTCAATAAACAATTTGCCCCAATTTAAATATTATATTGTGAAATCCATGCACCAAGATAGAAAGTGTGAGAAAATATTGTATTGGCTGCAAAACTGATACAGCCATTTCTCTTTTTTGGTTTTAATTATTATTTTTAAAATTTAAGCACTCATGTATAAGGGAGAATATGTGGTATTCTGCTTTACAATGGTTTGTTAAACTACATTTTAAATGTCAAATAATTGTTAAAATTATATATTATAATTATAATTTTTACTTAAAAATTTAAAGTATTTTTAAATATAAAATTTAAAATATAAAAATTTTAAAATTTCTATGAGTGAAATTGAACATTTCTTCATTTGATTATGGTTTATAGCCCTTGCCTACTTTCCTGTACAACTATGGTCTTTTTACTTTTTATTTATTCAACACTTTATTTAGTGGAGCATTATGGCTTTGGATTAATGTAAAGTAAAAAAGATTGTTATGTCAAGAATTTTTAAAAGAGGAAAAAAAAAGAGTAGAGGTTGAGAGAAATGACAGACACTCCTTTCCCCCCATACAGAGGAATTTGATTCTGACTAGAAAAAATTAATTTTTGAGAAAGTCTGAGATAGGTTGATTTAAATATCCACGTGAGCTCTTTTTCATTCTGTACAGAAATCTCTTCCCCGCTTTCTGAAGGGCTGGGTCACATCTTCAGACATGCATCTCAGCATTATTCGATTGGCAGTGCAGAAACGTCCTTTCAAGAGGTGCACTTCCTCTCTTAGGAAAGGCGGGCCCTGGGGTCAAACTTCCTCAGGCCTGTAAGTGGTAGTGACGTCAGCCCGTTCTCTTCCAGAATGTCGACGTAGCATCACTTCCAGCACCATTATCATTGCCATTATCGTTATTATCACGTTTTTAAGACTTTCGAATGTACCAAGCAACCAATGAAAGTAATTTGAATTTTTTAGTGATATTTGAATGCTATTATTACCTCTCTTTATGCATCCTCTGATTCACTTTGGTTTAGTCCTTTTTTACCACCATGTTACCATAAGGCTTAATTTATATTTAATTCATTTATCACTCCTTTTTATGAATTATTATTAATGTTTGTAAAATATGATGAATCATTATGAAATAGGAAAGTGATAGTTATATTAGGTATGTGGATGATGACATTTGCTAAGTTGATTCTTATGATTCTGTTTCAGTAACAGGATCAAATACAACTTCAAAATTAAAATACAAATTAATTTATTTAGTTGTAACATAATAATTATAGGCATATTTTTTATAGCTAATTATCAGCTTTGAGAAGTAACAGTTTTGTACAGTATTATAATTGCTGGACAGGAAAGAGTTTGTATGCTTAGTGATGACCAAAGTAGATTATATGTAGACCAGAAGTATATTTTTTTTATTTGACAAATAGAGTTAGACAGTGAGAGAGAGAGAGAGAGAGAGAGAGAAAGAAAGGTCTTCCTTCTGTGGGTTCACCTCCCTAATGCCAATCCAAAGCCAGGAGCCAGGTGCTTCCTCCTGGTCTTCCATGTGCGTGCAGGGGCCCAAGCACTTGGGCCATCCTCCACTGCCCTCCCGAGCCACAGCAGAGAGTTGGACTGGAAGAGGAGCAACCAGGACTAGAACCCGGTGCCCATATGGGATGCCAACGCTGCAGGCAGAGGATTAACCAAGTGAACCATGGCGCCGGCCCCGACCAGAAGTATATTTTGACAACTAGTAAGTGCTTATGTGGAATTTACTAATTAAAACATAATTCAAACTATTTATTCTTGAAAAGGGCTTTTAGCCAAGAAAAAACCTAACTATTGATCCAGTCAGAACTTGTCTACGGGGCCCTGTAAAACCATGTTTCCCAACTGGACAATCAGAAGAATCTGGAGCAACATAAATGGACATCATGGAGTTCCACATTGACGATGGCCTGGAACAAAAAATACTCGTATATAATGGAAGTACACGGAGCCAGTACATGCAAAATACGCTTCATCTCTTCTAATTCTCCCAAACAGTGGCGTCACTCTTGGGATAGAGCTAGTAATAGAAGCAATGACTTGCAGTTTCTGAGACCACGGCTTTGATTATTTTCAGTGAATCTGCACTGAATTATATGATGCTAAGGTAACATCACAGGGGTTATCACTTCCTAGATAACCCTTCCTGGCATGAGTCTAGCTTAGTTTATCAAGTAGACAATTTTGTGCAAAAACCCAAAATTGGAAGAGAAATGGAAGAAATAGTTCTTGAAGGTCTCTGTATTCAGACTGGTGAACAAATATGAAATCCACTTAGTTGCACTAAGTGAGAAGGACACACTTTACCACTAAGACTATTGGTGGACACCTTCGCAGGAATCACAGAAAGTCACTTCCATCTCCCACTAATAGCTTCACCAAGAAATCTTTAGTGTTAGTGTGCTCGGATTTCTGTCTGGTCTTTGGACATGTGATCCCTAAGTTCTTCAAGAGCAGGATGATTGCTAGTTCCTACTGCATTCAAAAAAATGAATAGAAGGAGTTAATTTGGACTGAGCTGTGCCCCTCGATGAGGAACAAGAGGCATGTTGCTTTTCCTGCACCCTTCTGTTCCGCCATGAACACACTCTGCAGCTTCGTGGCCTTGCAGGGCGGGAGTTCAGGAAGAGAGTCACCAAGATGTAAGACGGCAACTCTTTTCAATTGAGTCAGCTTTGTCAGACAGTTTACATCCAAAGGACATTATTGAAGGACAGGGACTTTCAGGAATCAGCATTTCTGAACGCGGGATGCACTCACTTTTCATACTGATGAAGGTCAGTGACTGCCTTTTGGAGAGATTACTTAGAGAATTATACCAAGGCGTTGGGAGAAAGGAGGGGAAACTGGCTGTCAAAGACACCAGACACATTGCTAAATGACTTCAGCAAAAAGATGAACAAGCACGGACACAGGTAATCATTGGGGTGAACCTCAAGAATATGATACTGAGTAAGATAAACCAGACCTCAAGTTCCTATTAGGTGGTTTCTTTTACAAGAAATTCTCTAAAAGACAAAACTGGGGCCAGTGCTGTCTTGTAGCCGGTAAAGCCGCCGCCTCTAGTGCTGGTATCCCATTGAAGTCCTGGCTGCTCCTCTTCTAATTAAGCTCTCTGCTATGTCCTGGGAAAGCAATGGAAGATGGCCCAAGTCCTTTGGCCCCTACACCTGCATGGGAGACCCGGAAGATCCTGGCTCCTGGCTTCAGATTGGCACAGCTCTGGCCATTGGGGCCAATTGGAGAGTGAACCAGCAGATGGAAGACCCCTCTCTCTCTCTCTCTCTGCCTCTCCTTCTCTTTCTGTGTAACTCTAACTTTCAAATAAATAAGTAAATCTTTTAAAAAAGACAAAACTGATCTATTATGAGTGGAAACACATCAATGTGTACCCTAGTTGAACATCATATGGAGGTGGCCTGTGGGCAAGGAAATGACTATGAAGACACAAAGTGGACTAAGAAGTACAATGCCAATGTTCTGTAGATTGCTACATGGGTGTGAATATGTGTTTAAATGTATTGGTTCAAAATGATTATATTCTGTTTTATGTAAGATACACTTAATTTGTCAAACATGATAAAAGCAGAAGTAGTGAAGAAACTTTTACTTTACAAATTATTTAAATATATGGGAAATACCCCATGTATAAAGAAATACTCCAGTTGTAGGTAAATTATACTTTGGTTCTTTCATAGATTACTATCAATTGATTGTAGGCTTCAGAGCCTACAAGACAACATAAGCAATCAGAATGAAAGCCTAGAAGTCAATTATGGTATCAGAAAACAACAACTGGTAAGATGTGCAAACTGAGTCTGGCATTGTGGAGCACCTTACTTATATGCGGATTTTGTCTCATTGGTGTGAACATGACAAACTCTTTGAAGTATATCCTTGAGAGCTTCTTTTACCTGCTGGTTCCTTAGGGTGTAAATGAAGGGGTTGAGTAACGGGGCAATGGAGGTGTTGAGCACTGCTATTCCTTTAGTTAAAGTTACCCTTTCCTTTGCTGATGGTTTCATGTACATGAAGATACAGCTCCCATAAGTAATAGAGACGACCACCATGTGGGAGGAACAGGTGGAAAAGGCCTTGGTCCTTTGTTGAGCAGAAGGAAATTTTAGGATGGTTTTGATGATGTAGGTATAGGAGAGGACCACTAACAACAGCGTGACCACAAGTGTCACCACAGCTAAAACAAAAGCCATCAATTCTAGGAAACGTGTATCTGTGCATGAGAGTTGCAGGATAGGAGAAGTGTCACATAGGAAGTGATCAATAGTTTTGGAAGCACAGAAGTCTAGCTTGAGCCCCAAGACTAACGGAGGGAAGATGATCAGGAATCCAGTTACCCAGGAGCCGAGTACAAGTTGGTAGCACATTCTGCTGTTCATAATGATTGGGTAATGCAGCGGTTTGCAGATGGCGACGTAGCGGTCATAGGACATGGCAGCCAGGAGGTAAAACTCTGTGATGCCTATTAAAAAAAAGAAGAACAGTTGAGCTGCACAGCTATTGTAGGAAATGGTTCTGTCCCCAGTCAGAATGCTTATCAGGAACCGTGGAATGCAGGCTGTCGTAAAGGAAATCTCTAAGAAGGAGAAATTTCGGAGGAAGAAATACATAGGAGTCTTGAGGCGGGGATCCAGCAGGGTGAGGAGGATGATGGCTGAGTTCCCCATCAGGCTCAAGATGTAATTGGAAAACAGAAACAGGAAAATCACAATTTGCAGCACAGGGTCATCTGTCAGTCCCAGTAGAATGAACTCTATCTCCTCTGATTGATTTTTCATTTCTCCTTTGTCTTGTCAGATCTACAGAAAATAAAAACTAATATCACCAGCAAAAAAAGACATTTCTTAACTTTAAGCCACAGAAAATTTCCTATACAGAAGCTTACATATGAGCACATACTTTTGTAAATCAACCTAGAGATCACCACAATGTCCTAGAACCCATCAATCACATTTATAAGGACAGCAAGAGAGTCTTCCGAATTACATATGTCCTCCTTACCACTTTCCAGAATGCTTGGTATCAGTCATTAGAAATGTAGCTCTGGGGCTGGCGCTGTGGCATAGTGAGTGGGGTTGCCGCCTGCAGTGCCGGCAACCTATATGGGTGCCCATTAGACTCCTGGCTACTCTACTTCCGATCTAGCTATCTGCTATGGCCTGGGAGGGCAGTGGAGAATGGCCCAAGTCCTTGGGCCCCTGCACCCACGTGGGAGACCTGGAAGAAGCTCCTGGCTCCTGGTTTCGGATCAGCCTAGCTCCAGCTGTTGCTGCCAATTGGGGGGTGAACCAGTGGATAGAAGATCTCTCTCTCTCTCTCTCTCTCTCTCTCTGCCTCTCCTTCTCTCTGTAACTCTTTAAAATAAATAAATAAATCTTTAAAAAAAAAAGAAATATAGTTCTATATTTTGGTTAGCATTAATTTGTGATCTTTTAAACATTTTATCTCAATAGATCATTTATGTGTTAAATTTTTTGAATTTCTGAATTTAAGTGATATCTCAAATAATTTATTACCTGAACAACACAAAAGATATAGGAAATAATTTTTATCCCATTTGGCATAATAATTAGCAACTTAAGGATTAACGTAGTAGTACAAGAAAATTCTAAGAGAGAACAGTTCAAACAGAAAACTACAAAGGAACTTAAACTGAGTCTCTGCTGTAGGATGATCATGATCCCATCACCAGTGGTGTTTGTGAATATAATTGAAAATAAAGAAGATGACAACTTTAAAAAGCGAGTAATCATTTACACTGGCTGAAATAAAGACTGCTTCTCTTTTGTAGTTTCCTATTTTTGTATTCTGACTCCTACACGGTCTTAATAAACAAAACCAACAAGATCATTATAGAAAACAGTAATGACAAGTAGTATGTACACTAAATTGCACAAACTGGGGGCAGACGTCTCAATGCCCTAGGCTCAGCCAGTACTTGGGGTGCTCGCATCCCATATGGGAACACTCATTCCAGATGTGGTTCCTCCACTTCCTATCCAATTATCTGCTAATGTGCCTGTGAAGGCAATGGATAATCATGCAAGTGCTTGTGTTCCTGCCACTCATGTGGGAGACCCAGATGGCTCTTGGCTTTGGGCTGGTGCAACCATGGCTGTTGTGGGCATTCATGGAGTGAACCAGGGGATGGGAGATTCTCTCTCTCTCTCTCTCTCTCTCTCTCTCTCTCACACACACACACACACACACAATTTCAAATAAAAGTAAAAAAATCTTTAAAAAACAAACTTTTGAAAATGTTTGACATATAGCAATGCAATACTAAGTCATATTTTTCAGAAAATTGTGCTTATAAGATGATCACATAAGAATAGTGACAATTTATCATTTTTGCATTGAATAATTCAGGAGCTCAAGAATCTTGTAAATGCACTTTTTACAGCATGGTTTACAAAAGTTGAAATAGTGTATCATTTCCTGATCAAATTTAGTTGTAAAGTAGAACCAAAAGGCTGCATTATAGCAATCTATATTTAATGCTTAAAATCATATCCAGAGAAATAAATCTAAATTAAGTCAATAACCAAAAATTTCTCTATTTTACTATTTAACTCCATGAACCAAAGCTCAACAACTTGATTCTTGATTTCATGATTCAGTGAAATTGATTGTTAGATATATCTGTCAATGTCAGAAATAGGGAAAATCTTTTTGCTTTTCTTTTGAGGATTTTCATCCCCTAATTTCTGATGATACATCACTTTCTGCCCAATACCATTTCATTATGAATAGTCTATCAATGCTACAGAGATAACAAGAAATAATTGCTTGTTATAGAGTTACAGTTTTGAATACAGATAGGGCCTGGTAACATTTAGAGAAAGATAATGTTTTGTAGAAGCAGATAAATGTACAAATGATTCTAGAACATATTTTGAGAAAGGAAAAATAAAATGAAAAAGGAAGATAATGGGTTCTTGGAGTCTTTATATATGTTTTTTGAAATTCAGAGAATGAGTTAAAGGAAAACATAAAAAATTTAAATTGTGTAAGTAAACTTGTAATTATAGGAGTAATATAGAGAAAATGTTTCATACAGAATTTAATACAGAATCATTTCCTAAACTGTAGAATGAACACACCAAAAAGCAAAACAGAGAAGCCACCAAAAGCAAAACAGAGAAATTTGAAATTTAGTAAGTTTCAAATTCACAATGGGTGGTGGGTTCACTACTGAGACACATTTTGGATAGTATATACTATCTTACAAAAAATAATGATATTCAAATACCAGACAAATAAATTAAAATTAAGTAATAATAATACATGAATCTACTGTGAACTGAATATTTAACAACCATTATTCTCAATTATTTATATATTTTATGCTGGACAAAGTGATTAAATACAAACAGTAGACCTGTATTGAGGTTTGCATTTAGATCAGGGGAACAGATCAAGAGAAGCTATTTTCAGAAGACATGGTTTAGAAAACAAGTTATGGGACATTTCTTGTAAAAGAAATTAGCATCAACTCTAGGAAAAATTGCTTCTTCAGAGTTTCTATTATCAAGTCAAACCATTTTTTTTAAAAAAGCCTTTTAAAATTAATATCATATAAAAATGGAAACTGTAAAATCATGTGTTTATGCACTGAAGATATTCACAAAATTAGCTCCAGCTCCTGAAATATAATAGTTTAGAAAACATATCACATGCAGAAATAAATATATAAAGAACCAAAAACTAAAAGATGTGAAAGGTCTTTCCAGTGTTAGTACGGACATTTTAGGAGGAGATACCTGATTCAACGGATCCTCGGTCAGTTCCTAAAAGGATATGGAGGGATGACACGGATATTCCAGGCAGATGGAGCAGCAAGAACAAGAGAGGAGTGAGTGGCTCAAGCATGGCTTGTTTGAAAACAGTATTAGGGTTCTTCCATTTAATCATCTGTGCTAGAACCATAGACTAATGGAAAATACAGCGCACCTCTGCCTGGATTTATTTAGTCTAGCACACTTAGGTCATTGTGCAGCAATACATTACAACATGTTCTCATTTGCACCAACCAGCCCATGGCAACATTGGTACAAATGAATGATTATTTAATGTGTCAAGTAGAGTTTCATCATATCAAGCCTTTGGTTCACCCTGATTCAACAATTATGTCTGCCATCTGTCCCTTTACGTCCACTGTATAGGAAAACAATGCAAATCACATTATGAAATCAACAGAATACAAGCCAAAGAACTTAATTTTATTTAGTTTTGTTAGATATCACAAATATCTGATCAATAATTAAGATAAAAAGTCTTTTGAATTGAAATAATTATTGCATATTATTTGCAATATTTCACCAACCAGCATCTATAAGTCAAAATGTGAAAGGTGGTAATAAGATTAAACATTTAATAGTTTAGCAGATCCTATTATAAATTCTTTTTTAAATAAATATATTTATCCCTATAAAGAGAACAGCTTTCATGTGTTTCATGTATATATACAATTCTGTACGTACACACATTTGGGCAAACTATCTTCCCATCAACACTGAACTCACCATTGTGGTAAACACAGAACACTGATGTCTTTTCATTCTACTATAAAACCTGTGACTGAGTTACATGTTGTCTTACAAATATTTTCTTTGAGCAAATCATGATGCAATACTAGGAGACCATTAAGTTTCCCTCCTTTTTGCAATTTACTACAATTTGCTCATGTTAAGTATTGCATACCTTTCAGAATACGACACTGTGCAATACAAAAATTAACTGTCTGCTAAAACTGTGGAGAATGTATGCTTCCTGTGCCTTACAGGAAAATATTTAACGACAAAGAATTCTCAGGGCAACTGAGATTCAAGAACATCATTTCCTTAGGGGTTGCCAAATTGTGTATTGCAGAAGTGCAGTCTGCAGACATAAACATACACGAATGCAAGCACACATTTCCTTCTGTTAACTATACTTTCAGAGGTTTCAGTAAAAAATGCCGTGAGATTTGATTGCCTATCACATGCCATTCTTTGGAAATCTCAGATATATAGCTGAGAATTTAGAAAGAGAAAGAAAAAAGGATTTTTTACATGGATATAAAAAGTGTGAGTAGAAGACAGAAAATGCAACCTGATGAAGACAAATCTATCTCAAGCCAAATGTGTTATAAATACTACTTTATCCCTTTTACAATACATTCTCTGAAACACTCCAATTTATAAAATTTTTTTTGTAACTGCATGGTCCTTCTTTGTGAGGATATACCAGACCTTAGTTAACTGCTGCTTATATGCAGGCTGGTAGATTGCTTCCAACTTGGAGAATTACAAAAAAAGTACAAATGAATAAAACCACATATGTATTTTTATAAAACAGTTTTCATGATGTTGAAAGTCATAATGTTAATCCTTCAAGGTATATTTCTATAATTAGATTGATGAATCAAAAGGATACCCTGTACACTTTTTTTAAGATGTTATTAAGCTGTTCTCTGTATGAAAGGACATCAAAAAAAGATTACTGACGCCATAAACAAGAGTGTAAATTTGTTAAGTCAACAACAGGAGTCACTGTGCACTTCTCCTCATGTAGGATCTCTGTCCTTAATGTGTTGTTCAATGTGAACTAATGCTATAACTAGTACTCAAACAGTATTTTACACTTTATGTTCTGTGTGGGTGCAAACTGTTGAAATCTTTACTTAATATATACTAAATTGATCATCTGTATATAAAGAGAATTGAAAATGAATATTGATGTGAATGGAATGGGAGAGGGAGTGGGAGTTGGGAGGGTTGCGGGTGGGAGGGAAGTT